ACACACACACACACACACACACACACACACACACACACACACAATACATACTCATATAATAAAGAAATTGACTTAAGGTCATAGTAACCACAGGATGAAGATAGGACACAGACCTATCTCGATTCACTCCTTGCTTTAGAACTTTTCCCGTGAACCCCACTAAATAAGGGGCGCAGTGGTGCTCCGAGCTGACAGCCACACAGGTTCCTGTCAGTCTTGATGTCCTAGACTGGGTTCAGGAAGCGCTTAGCCCTCAGAACGCCCCAGGGACTTGGCAGGATGGAACGTTTGGGTTTGCGCGTCCTTTGTTTGGAAGAGCTTGCTTCCTTTCGGGGCTATATTTAATGATTGCCTCCCCGTGGTACTTGGTGGGGCTGTGTTTTGTGGCAAACTCATGACTACCTGTCACATTTGGAGTCTAAGGGGAGAGCAAGAGAGAGAGAAGCAGCCCAAAAGACAAAACTGAGAGTAGGTTGTATTAGTTCCCAGATTCATCAAGATTCTTCTGTGTGCTTTGTACTAAATCCACTATTCTGCCAGAATCCCAGAAGTCCGCTAAATCAACTGACTAGCCCATTGATTAGGGGTCAGAGCAAGGCTAAGGTGACTTGAGGACAGCTTCCATGGTTTGGCTTCTGGGAGGTGTGAGGGAGGAGGCAGTAAGTTTCCAGAAAATAAACTTCCAGTCTTCATCTGAGCAAGGCTGACGGCCTCACGGAGAGAAAAAAAAAAAAATGATGTTCTCTTGGACGATTTGGTTTTGTTGTTGTTTTTTGTTGTTTTTACCTGCCCTGAGATGGATGAATTCCCTCCAGTCCTGAAATCCCAGACAGCAAAACTCCCTCCAGGGACCTGACAGGAGGGAACGCTTGGGTGGGTGTGTTCCCAGGATGGTCTCTTTTCTGGGTGTGGGAACTGCCATACCTCACATCTATCCCAGTGCTGAAGCCCTTCCTCCGGGTCTCTGCCTGCTCCCCTGCGCCCTCTGATGGACAGACTACCCTTACTACTTGGACATTTCTAGAGAACTCAGGGCAGGATGGGCAGGCTGGTTGATCCTAGCGCTGCTGTGCCCCTGGATCTCATTCCTTCCCAGCCTGTCTAGACATTGCCATCTAGCAGAACCTAGGCTGCACACATGGGTACACAGTCCAGTCCTGAGAGCCACTGGACAGCATGGGTTTCTACTGTCAAGGATAGTTACATCATCGAAGGCAAACCATTAGAATATGTAAGTCCTTTCCTAAGCGTCATAAAAATGTAAGACAGTGTCTTTTAGATGAGGACAATGAAACTCAGAACAATAAGGGGATTTGCTCAAGATGTCATGATTAATAGACAAGCAAGAAGAGTCGTTTCTAGAGAAGGCGGAAGAAAAGCACCAAGACCCTGATGTCCAGAGAGAGTGGCCTTGGCTCTTCATCTCGAGATGGACTGGTGTAGCATCCTCATCTTGAATGGAAGGGACACCCAGGGGAAAATGCATCTCCTCCCCTCTTCCCCAAGAAATCGGAGGACCTGGCAACCTGAGCCTCCACGGGGCTCACAGAGGGAGCCTTTCCACATCGCCGAGTGGCAAGTCTCAAAGGTCTCTGTTGCCTTTCAAACAAGACGCTGTGCTATGAAAAGCAGTGAAAAGCTGGAGAGATGGCTCAGGGTTACAAGCACTGATGACTCTTCCAGAGGTCCTGAGTTCAATTCTCAGCAACCACATGGTGGCTCACAACCATCTGTAATGAGATCTGGTGCCCTCTTCTGGCCTGCAGGCATACATGCAGGCAGAACACTGTATACATTATAAATAAATAAATCTTTAAAAAGAAAGGAAAAGAAGTGGAAAACAGAGACTTGGGAGTTTGCCAAGCTTTATATCAGGCTTTTCTAGGTGTGGCTGTGATGATGTAACTCTTCAGAACCTGCTTGAGGACAAGTTATTTTGTAAGGGTGGGAGAGAGGGCCAGGCAGTGGTGATGCATGCTTTTAATCCCAGCACTAGGGAGGCAGAGGCAGGCGGATCTCTGAATTTGAGGCCAGCCTGGTCTACAGAGTTTCAGGATAGCCAGGGCTACACAGAGAAACTCTGTCTTGAATATCTCCCCCCTCAAAAAAAGAAAAAAGAGTGGAAAGACGATTAAACAGTTAAGCGCACTCGCTGCTCTTGCAGAGAACCCGAGTTCGGTTCCCAGCACCTGTATTGAATGGCTCACAACCTTCTATGACCCCAATGACATTGTCTAGCTTCTGTGGACACCTGAATGAATGTTCACATACACATTAATAAAAATTAAAATTAAAAATAAAATTTAAAGAACACACCTACACGATTGCTTCGCAGCATAAACTCTTGGGGAAATTGAAGAAGTATATGATAGTCACCCAAAGTGCTCAGTATTTAGCAGCTGCTAGGAGTCGCTTTCGGTTAACTTAGGTGTTCTTGAGGTGCCCAAGGAAGGGTCCCAGAGATTCTCCAACCTGGGAAATCCTCAGTGCCCAGTGCCTCCACCCTGTGCTGTGGTACTTCCAATCCGTGTTGGCCACCTCTCATTCCTGTGTTTCTTGTCTGTTCTAAGGATGCAGCCTTGCATATGGAGCCCAAGAAAGAAAGCCTGGAGCCAGGCCTGGAGCAGGACCAGAAACCTAGACTCCACAGTGTCAACAGCAGCGAGAGTGTCGCCAGCTCGGGCTTCCAGGAAGACAAAAGCGTAAGCGATGCTGAAGAAGACCAGGGTAGGTATTCATGCCTTCCTGGCCTCCTGTCTGCGCTATTTTTATACATACTGGGCATCTCACGCATTTTTGTCGTATTTATCACCCTAATAAAGATCCTGGGAGTGAGGGTAATGTCCTAGGGAGACAAGATTTGAAGAAAGACTATTTACAGTGTTGATAATTATGACAAGAACTCTTCCCTTCTCTCTGCTTGGAACTTTCTGTTTTACTAGGTCACCCATTCCCACCCAACCCCCATTCCCCGACCCTTCACTCCCCCACCCCACCCCCACAGCCTGAACAAATCTCTAAGGTTCATGTTGAGACTCGAATTTTCTTGCCAGTGAACTCTGGTGCCCTTGTTGGTTTGTTTTCTGTTCTGTGAATATTGTCGCAATAAACTGGGATTTGGTGCAGTTGCGAATGTCTTGACAAGATTCTAATGCTTGCTAGATTACAGTGAGATCTCCAAGCAGCCCCTCACCATGGAAGACCTGATTTCCTACAGTTTCCAAGTGGCCAAAGGCATGGAGTTTCTGTCCTCCAGAAAGGTCAGCTCATCTCTTGACAGGTTTTCTGCTTTCTTTAACTTCCTCAATTGGAGATATAGAGAGGCTTTGAGTTTTTCAGATGTTCCTGCTTTACATTTAAAATTTGATTTTTATCTATGTTATTAAACTTAGACCCTGCCTGAAAGAGAAAACACACATTTACCTCTCCCCGTTCCCTACTTTTATTTTGATTTAACTGATGCATAAAATCATACAAATAACGTGTTAATTAATATGTGTTAATGATGTCAAGTTTCAGTACATGTCTATGTTGGGTAATGTTTAAATCAGGTTAAATATTTCAAAACTTTATGGTAAAAGCTTTGAGAATTCATTCTTCGTTTTGTCTTTGTGAGGCCTGAACACACACCTCTGCTGTAAAGCTATTTTTCTACTATTTGTTTATATTTATGTTCCTAACGGAATGGTAGCCATCACCACAACGGCCTTGATTAGCTCTGATCTGAAAAGTTACCAGGATGTTGGGCCCCAGGTCGCAGTGGGTCGGATTTAATGTAAGATTAGAAATCTTCCTGGGTGTTCAGATGACACAAACACAGCGCTGCCTTCCACAGAGCCCGTGGTCACCTTTCCAAACTGCCCAGGGTTCACAAAAACACAGTTTCAGTATACCCACATGGGGCTTTCCAAAAGCACTCAGCGCAAACCAAGCTGTGGCTATCCCAGCACACGGGAGGTTAAGCAGGAGGATCCCTGGTCACACGCCAGCCTGGGTGAGTTCCCCACGAGTGGCAGGATTACATGGCAGGATGCTATTTTTGTTTGTTTGGTTGGTTGGTTGATTAGTTGGTTTTTTGAGACAAGATTTCTCTATGTATCCCTGACTGTCCTGGAACTCACTTTGTAGACCAGGCTGGCCTTGAACTGTCTCCTGAGCACACACCCAGCTCAGGATTCTGTCTTAAAGACACCAGCAGTGCAAACATAACAAAGCAATCTGAAGCTCCCAAAGATCTGCTCTAAACGGATAGTAGGGAAATCTCACTGGAGCAACAGACTGCCAGTGGAGTTGGCCGGTACACTCCCCACAGAACGGGAGCCTGGCCCTGGCCGACTCATCTTCAGGGTCTTCTGGCCCCATCAGAAGCGCATGGTGTTTATGGTAACTGGGTGTGTGCTAGGAGTTTCTTCCTTTCCCACACATGAAATGGAGCTGAGAATCGAGGCTGGCGATACTGGGGCTAGAGAGATGGTTCAGCAGGTGAAAGCCCTTGCTGCCAAGCTGGCTGACCTAAATTCAGTCCTGGGAACTCACACGGTGGGAGGAGAGCATCGACACAGTTGTCCTCTACTCGCTTACTTACACGAGTACACAACACACACACACACACTTTTTTTTTTTAAGAATTATGACCCAGAGTGGATACAGGAAACTAAGCATTTGGATTAAGGAAATGGGTTCATTACATAACTGTTTTATTATAGTGCATTCATCGAGACCTGGCAGCACGAAACATCCTTTTATCTGAGAACAATGTGGTGAAGATTTGCGATTTTGGCCTGGCCCGGGATATTTATAAGAACCCCGACTATGTGAGGAAAGGCGATGTAAGTCTGCCGGGTGTACATTGGATTCGCTTCTACCCTGTCGTCTTTAGACCGTAGACTGAAGCCCTTGTAAGATGTACACTTCCCAGGCTGTCACCCCCCCCCCAAAATTCTCATGTGGTCCTATGAGGACAGGCGGCCCAGAAGAGCTCTACGCCAGACAATCCTCGTGGTGGCATCTCTTGTCTGTCTCGGAGCCCTGGCTGGGGACCTGGCCTTTGAGCAGGACTGCATGAGGCTTCTTACCCTGAGCGACAAGCTGGGTCCTGCAGAGACCACATCAGCTCTTGCCTGCCACCCCTAGGGGAGTTCCCTGTCACACTGGAAAGAACAGTGTGACCTCTTCCCCTCAGATAAACCCAAATGATTGATTCAGCAGGTGCCTGTACCTCCGGAAAAAGTACGGGGGGAGGGTACACCCTATCTTGAAGGGAGGAAGCCGCTTACCCCCCAGGGATGCCTTTCGTGGGACCCATCTCCCTTCTGGCTCACTCTGGCCTCTCTTCCCCGTTTGTTTTTGAACATAATGTTATTTGTCACTTACTGGGTGACCTCTGGTGTCCTCTCTTGTCTGGCCTCTGCCAGGAGGGCTTCAGCGTATGTCTGGGCTCTCTGGATTGCTCCGCAGCAAAGGCTCGCAGACCGTAGGAACACATCCCTGGCAGCCGTTCTGAGCTGCCGCTTGTTGTCCTCCACCCCCCATCCCTTGCTGCAGAAAGGCTAGGGGTAGGCAGGGTGGTAGGGGTAGGCAGGGGTGAAGGGAGACTGCCTGGAATCTGCATTGTCACCAAGTTTCTGGATCATGTTATGTGCCCCCCATCACACTTGCAGAACCCCTTCTTGGTCACTCTTTCTTTTTTGTTGTTGTTTATTTTAATTTTCGTCTCTAAGTACGGGTGGTTCACCTGTCTGTGTGTCTGTGCACCACATTCATGCAGTGCCTACAGAGACCAGAATATGGTGTCAGATCCCCTGGGCCTGGAGCTTCAGATGGTTGTGAGTCACTGCGTGGGTGCTGGGAATTGAACCCAGGTCCTCAGGACAAGCAGCCAGTGCTCTTAACTGTTGAGCCATCTCTCCAGCCCCTCAGTCACTTTTTGTCTAAGAGGAAGACAGTCTGGCTTCTGGTGGAACGCTGGCCTGCAGAACTGTGTTTCAGTTTGAACCTCATCGATGTCCCCAACTCAGTGTCAATCTTTGGCTCTCTGCTGTCCCGTACATCTTACTAGCCCCTGCTACCCCAGCTCCCAGCCAGCTCACCGTGGCTCCTGCTGTCTGAAAGAGGAGGGCTGGTCTGCATGGTTGAAATCCAGCTGTATATTTTCCTAAATGGAAAACACTTCAATACAAAATTATCTGTCTTCTTTCCAAGGGATGTGGGGGAGAGTGAAGACTGAAGCCGGGACCTTAGATGTATCAAGCACACTTTCCACTCCTGAGTCACACCTAGCCCCTGGTTCAAGACTTAACATCCCATCTTTTTACATAGGGATGTCTTTCAAAACCTCCCTTCTTAGGAAAAAAAAATCATAGGAATTGCTATCAATTTTCATGTTGTTTCCTAATTCAGATTACTTTACCAAGTCCTTCATTTCTCTATGAAAGTGGGGAGGGGGTCATGCGAACACAGCTTCTTTAAGATCCATGGAACAAGGACCTGCTGGGTGCACCAGAGAAGTCTACCTGCCGTGCCTGCTCCCCAGAGATGGGGTAGCCTTTGCCACATGCTCTGGGGTCTCCTATAGTGCGGGAAACCGCAGGTGCTCTGGTTCTGCATAAGTGTTAAGTGGAAGGGGAGCCCTGGGCCCCGGGCGTGGACATGGCTTTTTTCTCAAGCTCAAGACCCCTTGCCCTCTTTCAGACTCGACTTCCCCTGAAATGGATGGCTCCTGAATCCATCTTTGACAAGATCTATAGCACCAAGAGCGACGTGTGGTCCTATGGAGTGTTGCTATGGGAAATCTTCTCCTTAGGTAAGTGTGGAGGAGGAAGGGGCATCCTGTGGACACCCCCACCTGACCTTGAGGGCTGCACTTGAGGGCTTGCAAACCCAGGTGGAGCCACCTGTATGTAGATGACAGCAGATGGATGCCCACATTCCCACTGCTACAGAAAGTGTTTAGACTATTACCAACGAAGTCAGGCAGCAGACAGTCTAAAGACAGAGCTGTCTGTCTGTCTGTCCTTTGCTACCTTTTCCAATACCAGCTCCCGTGTCTTCACCCCTTTCCTCCACACATCCATTCCCTCAGAATTCCTTCTCAGGAAAGGCCCTGATGTACACAGCTGGACCAGTAGATGGTGTTGTTAGAGGCAGCTGGCTTTGATCTAATGCCTGGCGTGGCTTTGCACACTGGTTTATGCAGACGAGCAATAAAAAGTTTTGGTTAGGGTTTTCTCTATCTAGGTTTATTTAGAACTATCCACTATGGGTTTCTTTGTTTGTGTGTGTGTGTTGTACCTACGTGTTATCTGTGCGTACTATGTGCATACAGTGCCTGAGGAGGCCAGGAGAGGGCATCAAATCCTCTGGAACTGGATGGACATGGGGCTGGAAATTGACCCCAGGTCCTCTCCAAGAGCAGCCAATGCTCCAGCCCATCTACTCTGGGTTTCTAAAGACCTTCTTCAATGCTTCATTCCTACAGATGTGCACAGGGATGCTATGAAATCTCCCAAGTAAGAGAATTAGCCAGGAATCTCCTGGCTTTGGGGGAAAAAAAGTCTTTCACTGCAGATAAAATGCACACAGTGATACCCTAGGCCCCTGTCACTGTCAAAACCATTCCCTGCTTTCCAGGACAGGCACCTGTTGCTTCCACTCCTTGAAAGCAGCGCGGTGACCACAATGGCCTTGCAGTGACACTGTGCCAAGCCTTGCGTGTCTCCCAGCTGCTCCCTACCAGCAGCGATCACTAGAAAGTGCAGACAAACACATGCTGGAGTAACCTTGGCTGCAGGGCTGAGCAGAGCATCCTGCAATGTCTTGCCCACTTTACCTAAGTCCACTGGCTTTCCAAAAACAAGTTATTAACCCAGACCACGAGTGTCTAAGGATTAGATGTCTTTACAGTTGTCTGTGGTACCAGACACTGTGTGGTCCAATCACCCCTTCCCTAACCAAATAGGCAGGTGTGACCACAAGGATGGCCACGACTCAGCCAAGGATGTGCCCTCAAGAAGAACCTGCAAACACCTCCCTGTGTTCGCCTCAGCCACTGGGAATCTGTCACTAAAACATCACTAAATATTTATCACGGGGAGTGTTGGGGGGTTTGAGATATGGTGTCACTAGATAGCTCAAACTGGCCTCAAACTAACAATCCTCCTGCCTCAACCTCCCTCCAAAACATCACTTGGAAGGAATGAGAGAAACTCTCAGTCGCCCCTCATGGTCTTTTGGGTAGGTCTGTTTGAGACAGGCTCTCACTTTTAGTTCAGGCTGCTGTTAACCTCCCAGAGATCCATCTGCCTCTGCCTCCCACGTACTAATATTAAAAGTGCATGCCACCATGCACCTCCCCGGCATGGTCTTTAGTACCAGAAACCTTATCACGCATGTCTTTCTCCACACTGTCCCCTGCAGGGGGTTCTCCATACCCAGGGGTGCAGATGGATGAAGACTTCTGCAGCCGCCTGAAGGAAGGCATGAGGATGAGGGCACCAGAGTACGCAACGCCTGAGATGTGAGTTCCTGGATTCTTCCTTCTCTCACCTAGTTCTCATGGGGGGAGGGGGGGACCCTGGGGTGGTGGGGCAAGGTCACAGGTTTACTTCCAGCTCCACTCCTACTGGGCTCTGCTGTGCAGGCAGTGACTTCCTGAACTGGATGGGCTCTGGATCTGCCCCTAAGTTCTCTCCCACCCACTGATTGGCCCTTAAAGGACTTTAACTGGAAACTGAAGTCAGAAACCTAGACAGACCGAATAGAACCTAGGAACAAATGCAAGGCCTCCCTTACCACCTCAGGTCAAGGCAGGGGCCTTTGGAGCCCAGGCTTCCATCCACAGTCATGAGGGAGGGGGAAGGGTCTTGGCTTGTACTGTGCTCCACAGGCAGCTGTGTGACTGGGGCTTGGGATGTGTTTCCCCAAGGCTCAGTTACCTCTGTAGTGCTCACCGAGCATGCCTACAAGGTCCTGGGTCTACCCCCAACACTGTATATACTCTGCCTGCAGTCACCGCATTCCGGAAGTGGAAGCAGCAGCATCCGGAATTGAAGGTCATTTTCGATTCAATAAAGATATCATATAAATATAAATATCATATCAAGATCAAGGCTGGTCTGAGCTACTTGGAAACCTGCTCCCAAAACCATATGGATAAATTGATAAAAGAAAGGGAATGTGGTGTAGCCAGGCCTCTTTAGAATCCTTTAGGACTAGGCCAGGCAGCTGGCAGCTCTCTTGACCAGAGAACAAGCGTCTTCTTGGCCTGAGGCTTGTCAGGGCAGTGGGCGAGCTCGAAGCCTCTGGGTACCATTTCCTGTTTCTGTGCCTGTTTAGCATTCTGAGGCCTCGGCAGGAATGTGATGACACTCGCAGTTTGGGTGGGTGAGCTGCTGACAAGGACTTGGGCCTCCCTGAGATGGCGCCACCTTTCCTGAACTGGCAGGCGGCCTCCCCTCCCCACCCACACAATGAGGTCCTGTGGAGCCCTGGGCTGGTCTTTGGGGGAAGATCAAGAAGGAAGTGTGGGCTTGGCCAAAGGGCAAGGTCACCATCTCTTCCCTTCATTATCTCAGGACCTCGTTAGGTCAATGCCAAAGCAGGGAACTAGATGAGAGAGACCAGGGACTCTTCAGTGCTACAAGAGAGGCTAAAATACTTGGTGCTTTCTCCTTAGAGTCTCACGTAGACTTCCCACAGTCTTGAGGAGTAGCCAGGCACACCATCCTCCAGCCTTCTGGGGCCATGTCCCGCTCTCCTGTTCATCAGAAGAATTCTCTAAAGCCAGGTGCAGAGGCGTGTACTGTAATCCCAATACAGGCAAGACTGAGGCAAAAAGATCGTGAGTTCAAGGCCAGGCTGGTCTACGTAGAGAGACCCTGCCTCAAAAATCCCCAGCACAAGCAAGGCTCCCTTGACTTCTCAGACCTTTGTGTTTTCCCAGAAGCCTCTTCCAGGTAGCTCGTGAGTCCCAAACAGCCTACAGGGTGTGGTTCAGAATTTAAAAAAATAAGATGTGGCTTTGAAAAGTGTTTCCTTAAAAGGGAATGCGAGCCAGCAGCCATGTTCTCACACAGCCATGTTCTCAGGCAGCCGTGTTCTCAGGCAGCCGTGTTCTCACACAGCCGTGTTCTCAGGCAGCCATGTTCTCACACAGCCGTGTTCTCAGGCAGCTGTGTTCTCACACAGCCGTGTTCTCAGGCAGCCATGTTCTCAGGCAGCCATGTTTCAGGCATGTGAGAGTTAAGAGGATTGGAGTCACCTCCTTGTTCTAACCACAAGAAAGTGCGGGTGATATAATAACTCAGTGTGCTTTCTCTGGACATCTGTTACCTCAGCTTGGCCTACAGTGATGTATACCTGGGAAAATTTGGCCGATAGCCTAGTGAGTCTTCCCACAATACCTTCAGTCCATTTTGGATGAACTCCCCCCTCTCTCTCCCTCCCCGCCTCTTTCTTTCTCTCTCACTCTGCTTAGTGGAGAAAACTGCCATGTTATGTTGAGCGAGTTGCCCCCACCCCGTGTGTGTCAATCAAATACCTACAGTCCCACAGTGGAATGGCAGAGGGAGATTTCTTTGTCCTGTGGTGTCTGCACTGACTTGCAGGTTGGGGTAAAGAAGGAGAAAATGAGGGCATCCAGGAGGTGACTGCAGATGTCCCTGCTGCTTTTACCTCAGAGAAAGCAGGGCGTGGATAATGGAGTTAGTCACACCTCCCAGAAGGCTGTGTGCCCGCCCGTGCTATGAGATGACAATGGCCATGGTGGCAGACAGGAGGCATCTGGCAAATGAAATATTCTCCTCACCCAGTAAGCTCAGACCTCTGTGCTTCCTGGTGCCCATTTCCCTCACTTGTACTTCCAGTGATAGAATAGCTAAGTAAATGTTTGATGTTCTTCCAACCAACTCTGAAGCCCTCAGACCGTGAAGCCTGTGTGCTCAGGAAGAAGCCAGACAACCCTAAGGGGGCAGGCTCAAGGGTTTTGTGTGTGTGTTGGGTGGGGAGGGCTTGTTTTTGCACATACCATAAATAGGTAAAAATCAGTGAATTGGTAACATATATAAAAATACCTTAAAATGAGAGAGACCCCTGTAGGATCTCATGAGACAGTGTGGCTGTGCTATTTCTGCCCACTGGCTGGCCTGAAAGTGCTCTGACAGAGTGCCTTGAGCCACCACTCCCAAGTGCTCCAAGGACAATTGGGACGTCCGTCTCCTAGAGGACAAAACAGTACCCAGACTTAGAGAAGCAATGATCAGTTCTGCAACCCCCCTTGGCTTTGGGTTTCTGGAAGCTGAGACCCAGTACCAGAGTACCCCTCATTCACTGTGACCCAGTACAAGGGCACCCCGCATTTGCTGAGACCTAATACAGAGGTTCCCCGAATTCACTGAGGCCCAGTACTGGGGTACCCCACATTTGCTGAAAACCAGCACAGAGATACCCCACATTTACTGAGACCCAGTACAGGGGTACCCCACATTTGCTGAGACCCAATGCAGGGACACCCTGCGTTCACTGCAACCCAGTACAGAGGTGTCCCACATTGAGACCCAGTACAGGGCGTGGAGAGCTTCTGTTGGTGCTGTTATGCAAGGGCGCTGGGTACAGAAAGTGGAGATGAAGTCCCAGGCCACACAGGCTAATTCGGACCTTGTTCTGAAATGCCAGTCCATTCAGAGTCTGCTCTGGTCCAAAGGCTCCTCAGAACGACGAGAAGATGAAATGAAGTAACCCTAGGAGGGCATAGGGGAGCACTTGGCTCGGTATGTGCAGGGATCCCTGGCATGTGCTCTGCACAGGGAGTCGACACAGACTCCCAGGCCAAGTTTACATGAGAACAGCCTAACTGTAACTGGAAGTTTCTCTCCCGCCCACCAGTTCCCGAATAACCACTGAGGGCTTAATATTAATTACAAACTGTTTGGCCTGTTAGCTCATGCTTATTATTAACTAGCTCTAACAACTTAAATTAACCCATTTCTAATATTCTATATTTTACCACAAGCCTTGTGGCTTGTTACCTCACATCTTGCTTCTCCACTGGCTACTGGCGTTTCCCAGACTCCACCTTTTTCCGCCTATATCTTTGCTTAGATTTCCCGCCTGGCTCTATTCTGCCTGGCTATTGGCCAAATCAGCTTCTTTATTAACCAATGGTAATAAAGCATATTCACAACATACAAAGGGGCATCTCGCACCACCCAGCAGCAGCACAGCTAAAGTATGTGAGGAAAACAAAATGCAAAAGAACTTGCTGACGTAGGAACCTGGAGACAAGATTTGGCCTCTGTGATATTAAGACCCATGTTTCCAACCCAGAAGCCCTGCCTGTTTTTACCTTAGCCCTGAGAAACGGCGTTGTAATAGGGGCTTTGAAGTTCTGGGCAAAAAATAAGCCACCACACATGGGAACCTTGCAGACACCCTGAGGAACTACTGGAGTCTACTGTCTATCACCCTTTTTTGGAAATGACTTACGTCATGAACCTAGTGCCTTTTCCATCAATTCTCATAGCAGAACCTTCCCAAGGAAGTGAGGGAGCCCTTCCAGGAATCTAGGGAGCATCCCAAGGAAGTCTGCCGACCTTCCCAAGGAAGTGTAAGGATTTTTCCCCAGGAAATGAGGACCTTCCTAAGGGAGCATGAGGATGTGAAGATGCCACGTGCTTACAGAGAAGCCAAATAGAGCCATCCTTCATTACACTCACGAATGAAGTGGGAGGCTGGGCGGTGGTGGCGCATGTCTTTAATCTCAGCACTCAGGAGGGAGAGGCAGGCAGATCTCTGTGAGTTTGGGGCCAGCCTGGTCTACAGAGTTAGTTCTAGGATAGGCAAGGCTACACAGAGAAACCCTGTCTCAGAAAAGAAAGGAAGAAAGAAAGAAAGAAAGAAAGAAAGAAAGAAAGAAAGAAAGAAAGAAAATAAAAGAAAAAGGAATCAAGTGGGCATCACCAGCTACTCAGTGGTAAGACTGTGACTGTTTTTAGCTGTGGGGACACCGTCCTCCTCTTGAGATAGGAAGAGTGCACCACTCACACCCAATGGCATAGAGCACCCTTTCCTATCTAAGTCCTGTCTTTGATCTGTAAGACTCCATCCTGGTACCTAAGAAAGGTGGGTCAGGTGTTCAGGAGGGCAGGTCTGTCAGTCTGCCTCAGTAGACATACGTTTGTCCCCAGGCACTGATGTTATAAGCCTAAAAATGAAACCACGCTGCATATTATAAAAAGCATGGTCTGAGATGTGAGCCAATGACCCTGACTTCAGAATGTGCAAGGCAGCCTATATAAACCCCACCTTTCTCCAGCTCTTTCTGTGTGCTCCTGGTCAACAGCTACCAAATCATGTTGGATTGCTGGCACAAAGACCCCAAAGAGAGGCCCCGGTTTGCAGAACTCGTGGAGAAACTCGGTGACCTGCTTCAAGCCAACGTCCAGCAGGTAAAGTTTAGGTCAGAAGGCCAAATGTATTCCTAGTAGAATTGGAAAGAGCAACAATAAAAAGTGGTGTGAGAGAGAGGGAGTGAGTGTGAGTGTGCGCACACGTGCGTGTCCTTGAAGGAGAAACAGCTGTGCTTACAGCTCTACGTTGGTATTTTAGGATGGGAAAGACTACATCCCGATCAATGCCATACTGACGAGAAACAGTGGCTTCACCTACTCTGTCCCCACCTTCTCTGACGACTTCTTCAAGGGTGGATTTTCAGCTCCAAAGTCTCCTTCTGGAAGCTCTGACGATGTAAGGTGAGATGTTGCTCCCCAGTTTTACTGCAGAAAAGAGAGGATGAAGGAGAAGGGGGAGGCTGGGAGAAGGAGAGAAGGATATAGAGTAAAGAAAGAATTGGGCATCTATTCTCCTTCCTGAATCTAAACATTGTGAGCATTCTGCCGGGTGGTGGTGGTGGTGCATACCTTTAATCCCATCACTCAGGAGGCAGAGGCAGGTGGATCTCTGTGAGTTCAAGGCCAGCCTGGTCTACAGAGTGAGTTCCAGGACAGACTCCAAAGCTTCACAGAGAAACCATGTCCCGAAAAATCAAAACAAACAAAACAAAACAAAATAAGACAAGACAAAACATTCTGCCATGTTCCGTGAGAACATCTGTATGTTCTGTAAATTGGAGGCCTATGGCTTTTCCTTTTTTCCTAAACTTCTAAAGGAAGGAATAAGACAGGCCTTGTGTTCTCTCACATCACATTGCCTTATTCTAGAACTGTAGCCTGGTTTTCATGACATTAACTCTGATTAAACTTACATAAAATAAAGCTAACTAAGAGTAGTAGTCCAGGACTGTAATCCCAGAATTCAGGAGGCTGGGGTGAGAGGATACAAGTTTAAAGCCAGCCCGGGATACATAGTGAAACGGTGTCTCAAAAACAACAGCAACCAAGAAGAAGAAAAGTTACATAAAACTGAGCCTGGTGGTGGCACATGTCTTTAACCCCAGCTTTTGGGAGGAAGAGGCAGGCGGAGCTCTGTGAGTTTGAAGCCAGCCTGATCTACAGAGTGAGCTCCAGGACAAGGGAAACACAGATAAACCCTGTCTTGAAAAAACAAAACCAAAAAAACCAAAAAACAAAAACAAACAAAAAATGCAACAATGGGACAAAATCAGCCCTCTTTTTTTGTTTTCTTATCTTAACCTAACAAACCTGTACATTCTGCATCACTGTAGAGGAAATTGGACAGACACTAATAGAACAAATACTTCCTGAGAAGGTGTGCTGGCCAGCGTAGGTATTTACAGCATACGGAATGTGTTGGCCCCCTGTGGTTATTGAAAATACATGCTCTGATCTGGTGCTGTGCTGGCATTCTGTACAACCTTCGTGTAAAAACCATCCTGCAAAGTACATATCTTCTCTCTAACAAATAGGGACCTGTCAACTGGAGAGACTGAGAACTTAGCAAAATGTGTGACTATCAAATATCAGAATTGAGTTTGTAACCCGGGACTACTGACTCACTCACTGTCCAGGTTCCTAATGGAATCAGGGGCTCCTTTTAGAGCCTTCTAGGATCTTCGACTGCAGTGGGCAAAGCCTTCACCCATGACCACTACCACTGCAAGGGAAACATGCAGCCGTTGGAAGTCACTGACAGCCATCTGTGACAGGTTTTGAAGCAATCAGCAGGCAGCCTAGAGCTCTGAGGATGACAAGTTGACATCAGTGCTCATACCTGACACCCAGCCAGCCATCTTCTTTTAAATGATAAAGTCTGACTGGGGTAGAAATAGGGTGGAGGGTGCCAAGCTGATTTCAGTATGTTGCTTAGCCGGAGACTCAATAGGAATCTAGCCTAATTGCTTGGAACTTGCAGCCACTAAAACTAAAACAATGGTTTAGCTGATGACTGGGTGTGCCCATGAGCGGCCGTCACTGGAATATCCCATCAGGTCTTCCCACTACTAGATCACCAGTGAAAATTGGCAGGTGGTCACCATGAAACCTTGCGACATCACTCGTTTCTCCCAACTGTAATTGTGGCCCAGAATGTACAACGTGAGCGCTCCCCTCAGTTGCACACTTAAGTCAGCTAGGACGTCTCCGTGGGGCATTTGTCAACTCTCATCCGTTTAGGAAGTAGGCAGCAGTAAGTGATAAGATGAAGTCACACTGCCTCCGGGGCATTGGTCTTTTGGTCACTAGGATACTTGGGCCAGACGAGGCCTCGCTTCTCCTCTATGACTGGCAGTTTTTGATTCCATGAGGAACTGGAGTGGGCCCTTTCAGAGTTTTTCTGAAAGACTTTAAAGTGTGAATTGACTACCTGGAGGAAGTGACGTCACTATGAGGATTTCTCGAGGGGACTAAGGAAACTGAGCCCGCTGCTTATTTTGGTTGTTAGGCACGACCCACCCAAATTCCACAGTGTCCTGATTCATTGAAGGTGCGTGCCTTTTCCTGCCTTGATTATTCTTTCTCCGTCTTCACTAGATACGTCAATGCTTTCAAATTCATGAGCCTGGAAAGAATCAGAACGTTTGAGGAGCTTTCGCCAAACGCCACCTCTATGTTTGAAGTAAGTCATGGCAGTGAAACCCAGCGCCCTCTGCCAGAAATCTCTTCTTGTCTAAGTGCCCAGGCCAGCAGTGCTTAGCCAGTAAGGGCCAGTTATTAGAAGAGGCCAAGATTACAATATGGGGGAAGAACAGATAGCCAGACTTCATCATGTAGAGTTGATTTGCAAGAAAATGCCATGGTTTGAAGATCTCTTGGAGCTCACAGGGGAGGGGGACTGGTTCTATTCCATCAGTTCCTGGGAGGGGAAGTAGAGTGGCCCTTGCTATGTCCCTAGCATCTCTTGTAGGCTATCAGTGATGCACCCTTCTTTGAGAGTACAAGATGTGTGAGTGGCTGGGCCTTGCGATGCAACAGACGCCTTGAGCTATTTATACTACATCTGAAAGAAGTCATGTAGGCCCTAGGCACCTTCATTCTAAGGCTCTGCAGCTGAGCCACCATGTTCCACCCAGACACACAGGTCAAAGTGTATCAGAGCAGCCTGGCAAACCAGGGGTTTCTGTTAGTAGGTCTCCGGAAAGCCTTTGCATGGGATTGAGAGACTAGGAAGTGGGGAGGAAGGCTGAGCAGGGCTGCCCATCTGGTATGGCTGACCATTGTGCTCCAAGTGGGCTCCTGAGAAAAGCATGATGCCATCATTCAAGAGCAGAAACCTTGAGGGTGGGTCCTGGAGAGACAACACAACAGTTAAGAGCACCAGTTGCTCTTCTAGAGGATCCAAGTTCGATTCCCAGGACCCACATGGTGGCTCACAACCATCAGTAACTCTAGTTACAGAAGACCCAAAGCCCTTTTCTTGGGTACCAGGTATGCATGTTATGTACATATGTAGGAAAAAAAATCCATATATATAAAATAAATATGTTTTTTTAAGATTTTATTTATTTATTATGTATACAACATTCTTCCTCTCTGTATACCTCCAGGTCAGAAGAGAACACCAGACCCCATTACAGATGGTTGTGAGCCACCATGTGGTTGCTGGGAATTGAACTCGGTTCCTCTGGAAGAACAGTCAATGCTCTTAACCACTGAGCCATCTCTCCAGCCCAAATACAAGTTTTAAAATAAGCAAACAGTGACTTGAGCCTCGTATATACACTAGATAAAGGGACATGGTGACTTCAAAATATAAAGACATTTCTATACTTTAAACTGTAGAATGCCGTGATAACGTAGATGGATATTGTGTGTTGTGACTCAGTAAGGTGTGTCAAGAGCCAGGAACAACACTAGCAAACCTCAGAACTTCTCAAGCTTAGGCTACCCCTTAAACGTGGAGAATGAGGTCAGCATCCTCGCCTGCTTGGATCCTTGCTGGTGTTTACACAGCCCAGCATGAGTCTCGGAGGGAGGCAGGGACAAAGTGTGGTGTTCACGTCCTGTTAATGGGACATCGCACTGTAGCAACAGGGTAATGACGAGTGCATAGGAGACCCCACAATGAAGATGACTGAACCACAGCAGTTCCTGGACACTAGGGCCAGTGGGGACCTGCCAGTGCCGTAGACGCTCCAAGAAAAAAGAACCAACAACCTCTATGATTTCCTAGAGATTCTACGAATGAGAGCATACCCATAGACAATCGCCAAGATTAATTTTAATGTATATGATCATTTGCATGAATGTTTCATGTGGAAAATACTAAACAGTTACATGCAAGTTTCCATTCTGTATGTGCATATGTGCTTGCCTATGAATGTGTATGTGAAGTTGAGGGTGTCTCCCTCAATTGTTCACCTTACTGTGGTTTCGGTGTTTGTTAAAGACAAGGTCTTTCAAGAAGCCCGAGCTCACAGTTTGAGCTCCCCAGGGGTTTGAGCAAGCTCCAGGATCTACCTGTCTCTGTCCCACCTCCCATTGCCAGGGCTATGGTGACAGACACAGACCACCAAGCCTGACTTTTATGAGTGATCTGAGGTCCTCATATATGTCCAGGAAGCACTTTATCCACTGGGCCACCTCTGTAGACCCAGGACTTTCCTCTTTATTTCCCTCACCTTCAGGAAGAAGGGTCTCACAGGTGCCTGGAGCAGGCACCATTTGTCTCTGTCAAGTTCACAGTCGCCAGTACAAAGAAAATGTTCGGTGCCAATGGGCAGGGGTCGTGGATGATGAGGGCAGCGCCAGGCAGCACCTCAGAGGTGCCTCCCAGTGTCTACCCAGTCCTTGTGGAACCATCTGAGTCAGGAGAGTGAGTCACCTTCCTCTTTGCTCCCACAGGATTATCAGCTAGACACGAGCACTCTGCTGGCCTCCCCGCTGCTGAAGCGATTCACCTGGACTGAGACCAAGCCCAAGGCCTCCATGAAGATAGAGTAAGGAAATGGAGTAGGAGTGGGGGTTTGGGTGTGGCAGAGAGGAGGATGTCAGGAATGATGGCTTGCTTGTTGGTGGGCTGTTTAAGGCTACCTGGTCCCTTAGTGTTCAGGTAAAGCAGAACCACCATCACCCCCAAAGGGGCAGAAAGGGGTCACGATATTGGACGTAGGAACCCCAGGCTCAGTGGGAAGGAAGACTGGGGCTTAAGAAGGGAAAATATGTAGGGAATTCTTGCAACAGGCCTGCTGAGTCTGAGAAGCACAGGGCCTTGGTGGAAAGGAGCCAGATGTGTCCAGCTGTGAAGGAAGGGCCGGGATGTGTTCACAGGCTCAGGAGACAACACTCCTGTTTCCGGTCCCTAGGCTAACATGGTCTATATAAGGTGGCCCTGTTTGCCATCCTGAGAACCCAAACTCCCACAATAAGGATCTTCTGTATCCTGATGAACCCATTACCCAAGACTCCATAACCCCGTGGCTTGATCCGTCAGTCGGCTCCCCCTCCTGCTCCGCGCCACTGGCAGAATTGCAGGGTTCCTGCAGTGTTTTCCGCTGCCATAGCTGACTTCAGGGGTTCTCTATGGCTGGAGGCTCCCGAGGAACAGTGCTATGCTGAGAAAGGCCTGCCCACTCATCTACTCCCTGCCTTTCCATGCGGGCTCATCAGTGAAGAGCACTGGCTGCTCTTGCGGAGGACCCAGTTCAGTTCCCAGCACCCCCATGTTCGCTAGCAGCCGTCTGTTACCTCCACTTCCAAAGGATCCCACACCCCCTTCTGTCCTCTGAAGGCACCAAGCACACATGCAGTACACATACATACAGGCGGGCAAAACACCCATACACTTAAAAACAAAACAAAACCAAACCCAGATTGCCAGTCCACAGGCTGTAGTTTTACTGAGCTGAAACTGAACTTGAAAGCTGCTGCGAACCCTTCCATGTGATGCAATGCGCACAGTCCACCAGGTCCTTGGAAAGACAAGCGTTCTCCCGGGCAAACATCTGCCTTTTCCTTGTAATGTGGGCTCAAAAGTGGGCCCCGCTGTGAGGTGATAGGGTTAAGGGACACCAATCTGGGTGAAAGCAAAGAGTAGGCTAGCTGCTTTTTTGCTTCTCAGTGGGGAACATGTGGGAGGAAAGGGTGGTTATTTTTTACTTGATCTTTGATGAAGAAAAGACAAACCCTAGTTTGTATACCCTACCCTGCAATTAAAGAGGTAGATCATAGGCAGGCCAGTCCGGGCCAGTTTGAGTCATGTGACTCAGAGCGTGCCCTCCCCTGCTAAGCAGTGATGTCAATCCAATAGCAAAGGGCAGGAGATGTTTTCCCCCCTCCTGGGTCCATCTTAGGGGCTCGCACAGCATATGGTACCTGAGAACAATAGTCCCCTGGACGACACGTGCTCGGGAGGAGCCTCCTGCATTGACTGTGTGCTGCTCTGCATGTCTTGAGACCACTAACCATGGACGTGGGGATTGTAAGGAGGAATCCATTTCTAGAAGCCGGAAGTCCAGACTCCAGAGCACTGGCAGGGCCGCCTGCACTTCAGAGACTTTGTGGGGAGGGGCCTACTCCTTGCCTCTCACAGTTTCTGTAGCTGCGTGCTTCCCTCAGCTTGGGGCCAGCTCGCCTGACTCCATCCTCACGTGGCTTTTCTCTCTGGTTAGTTCTGATGACTCTGTGTCCACACAGCACTGGGACCGACCCGCTGGCTAGTGCAAAATAAGCTCCTCCTCTTTAGACCTAAATTAAACTGTGAGGTGACTCACAGGTTCCCAGGATTTGACATGATACTGAGGAGGGGCAGGCAGGGGCCTTTTTTTTTTTTTTTTTTTTTTAAAGCTGATCACAAAAAGCTATCTAACCCAAAAATAGGAGCGTCTTGTTTTCCAACGAGAATGCTGAGGTTTGTACCATCTCATCAAACAGCTGACTCCCAGCCACCAGCAGGCCCGCTCCACCCAGTGACACCACACCAGTATGGGTAGGCAAGGTCTTCATTGCAAAGGAAGAACGTTTGACTAGGACAGGTGGCCACTAAGATCCTACAAAACGTCTCCAAGATGGCCGATTAACCTTGTTTGTCCATTTCTCCTTCTCTTTAGCTTGAGAATAACCAGTAAAAGCAAGGAGTCGGGGCTTTCTGATGTCCCCAGGCCCAGCTTCTGCTTCTCCAGCTGTGGCCACATCAGGCCTGTGCATGACGACTCTGAGCTGGGGAAGGACCCGTGCTGCGCGCCACCCCCAGACTACAACTCCGTGGTGTTGTACTCCTCCCCGCCCGCCTAACGCTCTGAGCCCGCCGCAGACCGCTACCCTGACAGTATTATGCATATATGAGTTTACACCTATTCCTCTCCGCAGGAGCCGGCTGCTTTCTGTGACTTAATAGTGCTTTTTCGTTGTTTTCGTTACTGTTGTTTGGACTAACAAGAATGTAACCCCAGATCGTGACAAGTGAGGAACACTAGTGCTCAATCCTCGTGTGACTCCGTGTAAGATAAATCCTTTGTAAGCCCAATGACTCACCTGCTCCAGCCCCCAAAGCCTCAGGGCACCCTGGACAGGCCATGTGCTGGCCATGGCACCCAGCGTGGGTCCTCGTGCCCACCTTCCCTCCCTGCAGCTGGGGGGCAGGTGCTGTAGGCTCCTTTGCCCACAGCGGCATGCACTGGCCTGCTCTATCTCTGGAGTTCTCTGGCAGACATTAAGACATTCCCTGGAGGTGAGAAAGGGAGACCAGAGCCAACAAGAGACACAGGAAAAGGCCTTGGGATCTATCATGTGGAGAAGGTGCAGGGGAGGGCTCCTCAGTGCCACTTTAACGATTTCTCATTCCTGGCCTCTGCTTTTTGGGCACCCTACCAAAAGGTGATAGGGCAGAATGTGTGGGATTTTCTAGATTCTGAGAGGCAAGGACAAATGTTCTTGGGAACCACAGAAAATCTTAAATCTTTCCCTGGGAATCTGTTTCTGTTGCCCGACACCATCCACAGCATGTTTATCATACATCGGTAAGGTTGGCATGTGACTCAGTTCCTCTGGTGAGACACACTGAAATCAGAGCCAAACTTGGAGGCCTCAACTTAGCATACTGCTCAACGGGAGCTAAGCAGTCTGGCCTAGGGGTGGTCTACCGAGAGAGTCAAAAGCCACAAAACAGTCGGTTCTATTTCAAGTATTAGTACATATATGACACTTTTGCATTCTCCTGTCTGATACAGTTAGCTATTCAAGGCAGCTAGGGAGAGTTAAGAAGACGGTTTTCTATGGATCCAAACCAGGATGAATGGACTAAAACCTAGTAAGGCAGAGTGGATGCTTCCATGTATGATAGCCAAGCCAATCCACCCGGAGTTGGGACCTCACTGTTTTCTTTTTACTTTATCATGAGTTTTGTCATCTCAATCCAATCTGAGAGGAGCAAAAGAGCATTAGCTAGTGTTTATTAAGCACTCTATGCTCCTTGGAAGAAAATTGATGTGCAATTTATGTAAGCTATTTCTACAACTGGGGCTCAGGATATTAGTCAATGAACCATCAAAACGAAAAAAAAATCTTATTTTCATCTGTTTCAGACCTTACCTGGGGTCTAAGGATGATGGGGACAGGGTAGAAATGGGGAGACAGGGTAGAAAAGGGTGCCCACTCTTTGGTGTCAAGAGATATGTGAGCCCTGGATCTCTAAAAATACTCTGTTAGATGTTGTATGTGCAAATTATGGTCTGTGTGTGTAGGACATGTACACCTGCTGGAGCCAGACCCAGCTGGGCAGACGATGAGTAGCTGCTTCGTGAGAGCAGACCACACTTCCTTTCTGCTTGCCACTCAATCCTATGGCCGCTCCCCTGGGTACCACATCCTTAAGGTTCTCTGTCATTTGAGAAGGGAGGCTTGGCACAATCCCCAGTGAGACCGTTTGCAGTCACGGTGGCTCTTGGGGGATTCACTTGCCAGGACAGAGAAGTAGGAAAAAGGGCTCTCAACCAAGAACTGGATAAAAAGAAATCAGACAGGGCTGGAGGAAGACATCTTTGTCCATCTTTGTGTGTCTGCAAAAGCTCATGTCAGGCGGCAAGTGTCAAAGACGGGCCATTAGACAGAGGCCACCAGAGAAATGAGTGATCTCGGCATCCTATGACTTCTCAAATCACTTAAATATCCGGTCACTAATGAAGAAAACCTTAGCCAGTCCTGTACTATTTTGATTTTAATCATCTAATTCTTAATCATTAAAGAGACTTTAACAAGGTCTCTTTCCCACAAACGTAAAGAAAATCTATTGGGATTCTCTGGCTCTGCTTAAGGACTTAGCGTTGGAGTCCGAAGCCCATCAGCGAAGAGAAAGACAGTTCCATCCAAGTTTTTAAGGCAGGAAGGAAAATGGAAACTTGTAATGACACACATTGTGCCCATCCATCCAGACAGCATGGGATGTTAGGACTCTGGCGGTGGCATGAAGACCGTTTAGCGGGCACTAAGGAAGAACGAACATTTCTCCTAGTGTTTGAGGTCACCAGTGTACACATTGCTGAAACCTCAGGCAAGTCTAAGTCAGCCTTAGAGACATACTCAGGGGACAGATCTGGTCAGATCTTGAAAACTGTTGCATGGGTCTTCGAGCAGTTGCTCGCTCCCCTGCCTGTAAATCAACGCAATGAAGGAAGAGGGCTTCTTTTGGCCGACAGTGGTAGGAACTGTACATGTATGTGTGTATGTGTATCTGTATGTTTTGTGCATAACTATTTAAAGAAACTGGAATTTTAAAGTTACTTTTATATGAATCAAAATGATATGCCACAGACAGAACTGAGATATGATCTGGTCCCACCTTTTAGTCATGATGAATGTATTTCATATATTATCTTCATTTAATAAAATCCACTTTCAAAACCAAGTATTTTCTTACTTTCCTTGTAAGAGAGAGGGAAAAAGGCACCCTGTACCTCAGGGTGGGGTGAGGGGACTGAATGCCGGGATAGCTTGCTAAACAGTTATCCACATGACCCAAGGGAGATTAAAGCAAGCTCTCCTGGAACAATGGCTGCCTAGACCACAAAGATGCTGCATGCTGAACACTGTATGGAGATTCCTTAGGAACAGAACCAACAGGACAAAATGATATATCTTAAGATGATTTACTAGGGGCCAAAGAGAGGCTCAGTGGTCAATCACAGCACTTGCTGTTCTTGGAGATCTATGTTTGGTTCCCAGCACTCACATAACAACTTGAGACAATCTGTAACTCCAGTTCCAGGGGACCCAATGCCTTCTGTCCTTCTCAGGCACCAGGCACTCATGTGGGGCATATACATAACAATTAAAGCAACTAAACATTTAAAACTTACTAAGTTGGCTTATGCAGTGTGGTCAAAACCTTACACTTACAAGGCTGAGAACTGGGTTGGTTCTTAGTCCCCAAGGCTGGCTGCTTTAGTGGTCAGAGCTGCACAGTGACCATCTCACACGGAAGACTGACTTCCTGGTGGTTTATCAGTCTCCACGGCTGTTGGTCTTCAGTGCATGTGCAAAACTGGAAGAAGCTAGCTCTCGGGAAAGGAAACAGCAGCAGCAATGGGATAAACTAACTCAGTGGCAAATCTTTCTTCTTCTGAGTGCTTGTCACCTGGGCCAGAAGGCGCCAAGGCATTTGCGGCGGGCTTTCCCAAGTTAATTAGCACAACCAAGGTAATTCTTCAACCGAGGCTCCCTGCTCAGGCGATTCTAAGTTGTGGCAAGTTGATATTTAAAACCAACCATCATAGCCAGATTGCCCAGAAATGCCAACACGACTAAGATCATGAACCAGGAAATTTCACAGAGGGATTGCTGGCTGCCTATGAGGAACCCACAATTCAAAACAGGCATCTCCCCTAAACACTAATTTTCAACTGATAATAATTACCGCAATCGCAGCGTGTGTGTATTGTGAGCACACGTAGATTAGAGGGTACAAATGGGCAAAACAGCATAAAGCACAAGAGACCCCAAGGAGAGCGCTACCACTTAGATGTCTCCAACTGGCCCCAAGCATTGTATCCTCCTGGGAGAAGAGACAATGCAGGCACTGGGTAAGAAGTAAAGCGGCTATTCGTGGATCTAGCTGCTAATATCCTGGGGAGCTAGCTTGGAGAAACACAAGGCGGGACACTAGATAAACATTCTTGGGTAGAAAGGCAAGACAAAAGAATAAATGACCAATCTCAGCAAACTTGTAAGAGGCATTTAGTCTTCAAGAATCTGAAATATTTTAAGAACACTTGCTTCTGAGCTTACATGGTAGCCGGCTGCCTTGGGTTGGGGGGAGGCTAGTTTTCAAACCAAAGTCACTTATTTGGGAAATGATTTGAAGAATGCTTCACGGACCAGCTTCACATCAGAAAATAGATGTTTTCTCATGACTCTGGGAACTGACAGGGCATTTGAGAATTCATTTCTTCAGCAGCAGGATGACCTAGCAATGGTTCTTAGACTCCGCACTGTAAAACCCATCTCCAGATTTGGGGCCTTCGAAGGTCAGGAATGCTGAAAAAAATATGCTGGGTCCCAACACAGGAATAATCAGCTTTCAATTTTGTGAACTATGGACATTTAAGGGAGAAAATAAGAAAGTGAAAGCTATTCCCTAAATCAAACCTGATCTGGGATAACCATTATCCCAGATATAACTGGGCTGCATGTTTCTGAACTATATATATGTAAATGTGTATATGTGTTATCCTTCAAAAACGGGCCATTAAAAAAATGAGCCCTATCATTTAGTAATTTTTTTTTTTTTTTTTGAGACAGGGTCTCCCTATGTAGCCTTAGACAGACGGAACTCTGTCTGGCCTAGGCTGGCCTAGAACTCAGAGATCCTCCTGTCTTTAGCTCTCAAGTGCTGGGAGATTAAAGGTGAGTGCCACCATGCCCAGCAACCTAGCACCCATTTAAAGCCTATCTTAAAGGCAGGAAGGCTAGGGTGGCAGAGCACTTGCTCCTATGTGAGGGCTTGAGTTCCATCCCTAGCTGTACCAAATCCCAAAATACAATAAACGGAAGGGGATTCATTGCAGATGAAAAGAGATTAGTAACATATCTAAAATACATGGAGGCAGATGCTCAACTTCCTTTGAGGCCACACCCAGAGGAATCCATAGTAAACTGAAATAGCTGTAGGTTGAAAACACTTGGCCTGCGGAGCACCCTGGCTCCATAGCACAGGGCTCTGCAGGGTCAGAGGTATCTTCTTGTGGTCACAAGGCCAGTGTGACTGAAGCCACGATTACTGGAGCCCGGTATGTAGAGGAACTGGATTACACAACACTTACTTAGCAGAGGTAAGAGTCCTAATTCAAAGTTGCTTAAGTCTGCACAGTGTGAATTACTCTTGCATCCTGAAGCACAGGGACTGTAGCTTCACCAGGGACCTAAGTCTGCATCCCATCCCTGGTCACACCTGATGAACAGGTACCATTCCAGATCTTGGGATCTAGCAAGTGCTTACTATGTGGCAGTAACTATGCTAAGTGCTTTGAAGGACTGAACTCATTTCCAGGACCATCTACTGTGATATGTACTTTTTTAAATTATTATTTATACTGTGTTCTATCTGCAGGCCAGAAGAGGGGACCAGATTGAATTACAGATGGTTGTGAGCCACCATGTGGTTGCTGGGAACTGAACTCAGGACCTCTGGAAGAACAGCCAGTGCTCTTAACCTCTGAGCCATCTCTCCAGCCCCTGTGATATGTACTCTGATACACCTTTCTCTTCAGAAACAATTCAAAGAACTCGGAAATCCCTCTCTCACGTCCCACCCACGGGCACCTGTGTTCATGCCCCTTGCCTCACCATCCAATGGCCCAGCCAAAGCGCATGGTGGTGTTCTTGACCCTGTCTTCTCACCCACTCACCCCTCGCTCCCATCCATTTCCCTTTCTTGGGAACCACACAGCCATGCCTATTTCTCTGATCTCTCACCCCATTTCTCTGTTCTCCTTCAGAACAGAACTCTTTGAATGGTTTTACCTACACTACTGGTTGGTTTTCAATCCTCTCCTTATTCCTTAAAACCAGTTCAACTTAGCAATGCCGTGAGCCACGTGCTCATAGGGAAGGGGCTCTGCACAGGCTCACCAGCCACCATAGGGCTGAACGGCTTAGTCCTAACCCAGTGCCAGCAGCTGTATGGATTCTAAAAAGGCCTTTGGGGTTGGGGTTTTGGTAAAACACTTGTTGCACAAGCATGAAGCCCTGAATTCAGATATCTAACTTGTCTTTGTCAGGGTTTCTATTGCCACAAAGAGACACCATGACCACGACAACTCTTACAAAGAAAACATTTATTTGGGGCTGGCTTACAGTTTCAGAGGTTTAGTCCATTATCATCATGGCGAGAATCATGGCAGCGTGCAGGCCAGATTCTGCTGGAGGAGTGCTGGAGGAGGATCTGAGAGTTCTACACCTTGATCCACAGGCAGCAGATTATGTTCCACTCTAGGTATAGCTTGAGTATAAGAGACCTCAAAACCCAAATCCACAGTGGCATACTTCCTCCAACAAACCCCATCTCTTAATAGTGTCACTCCGTACGACCAAATACTCAAATACACGAGTCTATGGGGGGGGGCATACCTGCTTAAACCACCACAAACTTCCACGTAAAAGCCCAGTCTAGCGCAACCCTGTTCAGCAGTACACATCTGTAACGCAAGCATGGAGCAGGAGGGTATCTGTGCAACAACATGCAGATCCTCCTTCTATAAGCTGCCTTGGTCATGGTGTCTTAATGCAGCTATAGAGAACTAACTAAGACTCCCCACCTCAAAGGAAACAAACAAACAAACAAGCAAATGAATGGAGGCTGGAGAGAGGGGTCAGCAGTTAAGAACACTGGCTGCTCTAATAGAGTACCTAAGTTCAGTTTCCAGCACCCATGTGGTAACTCACAACAGTAATTCTAGTTCAAGGGAATCTGATGCTCTCTTCTAGCCTCCAGGGAGACCAAGCATACACATGATACAAATACACACTTACAGGTAAAACATTCACTCACCAAATAAAATCTGTAACAAATAAAGGTAAGAGTGGGCTGGAGAGATGGCTCAGCCATGAAAGACTAGACTCACAATTAAAAATGAGGGCAAGAGTGATAAAAGACATCCAGCTTCCGAACATGCACATACACTCACACATGAACAATGTACACACTTCATTTCTGCTGCTGTGGGTAAAAGATCCTGACAAAAAGCAGCTTACACGTATTTTCACTCACAGTTCTATGTTACAGCCCACTGCAGTGAGGATGGCAGAAGTTACAGCAGCCGATTCTATCTCATACAGTCAAGAACAGAGATAATCAGATGCATGCGCGCTTCCTGTCCGCATATGTTCAGCTCCGCCTCTCCATGTCCAGGCAGTTTGGGCCCTGGCCTTGGGAATGGTGCCACCCGAAGTGAGCTAGGTCTTCTTACATCAACTAGCTTAAGACAATCCCCCAAACACATGCCCACAGTCCAATAGACAATTCCTCTTTGAGACCTTTAGGTTTGAATAAAAATGGCTCTTATAGGCTCGTGTGTTTTAATGTTTTCTCTGCCTGGTGCTTGTGGGTCAAGACGTAAGTTCTCAACTGCCCCAGCACCATATCTATCTGCCTGCCTGTCTGCCTGCCATGAAAGTCATGGACTCTATAAAGTTCTAGAACCATGAGCCCCCAAATTAAATGTTTTTTTTTAAAGTTGTTTGGTCTTGGTATTTTGTCACAGCCATAGAAAAGTAACAAGACAAAACCCTCTTCCCAAGTGGCTCAACATTGAATCAAGCTGACCATTACTCCACGCTGCCACCCTTTGTCAACTTAAAACCATAACTTTCCAGCAGACATGGTGGTATATGTCTAATCCAAGCCCTCAG